AATTCCAAAAGGTGGAGGAGCGGACAATAAAGGAGTGTTAAAATGAGGCAGATTCGTGGAAAGGGGTATAAAGGTCAGAAGGACGAGATCTAGTGGAGAGGGAGTGGATAGATGACTTGAATTGAATGCGTAGGATGGACGATGATTATAGATTATTTGGTAAAGAAATGTACCTAGGAAATATTGTCTTCTGAAGAAGGGAAAGTCACCCTAACTCGGCGTAGTAGTGGGAAACACGAGAACTTCTTGGGGTTCCATAGACAAATCTTAATAAGGCATTCATGATTCTTTTCAGTCTGTCTCCAAGTTCCAATGAGAGGCCACCGTACACTACGCAGCCGTAGTCAAGATGGGGGAAGATGAGGGCGGATACTAGGGGTCTACGTGTGGACATGGGTAGGAGATGGCGGAAGCGATGGAAGAGTTTCAAGGTGGAAATTGAACGTTGGGATATGTGGGAAATATGATGATTCCAGGAGAGGGTTTGATCTATGAAAATACATAAGTTTTTAATTGAAGAGTTGAAGGTGATGGGTTGGTCATTTAGGTAGAGGAGAGGAATATTGGTATTGGATCTGAGAAGTGGTTTGGGGAGATATGCTAGAGTCCTGTGCCACACCTGAGGACAGAGTTAGATAAGAAGATAAAGGTTGCTTAGGAATAGAGACTGCTTGGGTACGTTGAGAGAGGAAAGATTGAAACCAAAGGATAGAGCTGTTGGAAAAGGACAACGATTTTAATTTGGAGAAAAGGATGGAATGGTTAATGGTATCAAAGGCTTTGGAAAAGTCAAGGAGTACAAGGACAGTTAGTTTTTTGTCATCTATGGCGGACTGAACATGATTAATGATTTTGATTAGGGCGGATTGTGTGGAGTAACCTGGTCGAAAACCAGACTGGTAAGGATCAAGTTGGTTGGACTGTTCGAGGAAGTTCGAAACTTGGGATTGGACTATTCGTTCCAGAAGTTTTGCAAGATTACAAAGGATTGAGATTGGATGGTAATCTTCAGGGGAAGAAGGGTTAGGATTTTTAAGTAAAGGACGTACAATGGATTTTTTTCCATGAGGACGGCAATACTGAGTTCTGAAGGGAGAAATTATAAATGAAAAGGAGAACAATTTGAGGAGCCACAAAAGGAGCCAAAATTTGATTAGTTTGACAGGAATATCATCTGGACCAATAGAATTGGACTAAGATTTCATCACGGCGGATATGAGGCCTGTGGGAGAAATATCTGAAAAATAAAAGTTGTCATCGTTAAATGATATTCCAAGAGTAAAGATGGAAGAGATTGTTGGAGGAATGGAAGAGGAAGCTGATATAAAATATGAATTTAAATCATCAGGTCAGACTGGAAAGACTGCTGAACAAGGTGATCTGGAAGATTCACAGAGGGAGAGTTTACGAAGGAGTAGCCATTTGGTTTTGGAATCAGGAGCTGATGAAATAACTTCGTGGAAATAGGTGGATTTGGGGGTGTGATGAGTGGAAAAAAAGGAACAATAAAAAGATGAAGAGAGAAAAAAAGGTTTTCGAGGTATGATTTATCGCTGGAGTCAGAAAGGAAATTAGTGTTTAGGTCACCGGAAATGATGATTTTGGTATACAGACGAACAAATTTGAAGAGGGATGATTCAAATGATGGATCAAAGGGAACAAGAAGAGGTCTACACACTACGACATAAAGGACAGGAGATGTGTCAAAGGAAATTTCAACAATTAGGAACTCTACTTGTGGGTGATCGGATGGAGGAGAGCAGTGGAGTATTCGGGTCTTCAGGCATTCGTGAACATACAAAGCTATACCTCCGCCAGTCCGGCTCGTCCGGTTGTGGCGGATTAGTGTGTAGTTAGGAAGAGAAACAGATGTGGAAGGGATGTAAGGCTTGAACCAGATTTCGGAAATTACAATGATATGGTAAAAATTGTGGGTAAAGTATTCTAGTAATTCATCATAATGGGCTGGGAGGGGAAAATAAAGTCAGAATTTGATGAGCAGACGTTGGACCGGATATGATACATTAGATGAAATAATGTAAAAATTAAAATATAAGAAAAAACCCATTAAAAAGAAAAAATGTGTGAAAGTAATAATCAATAGAAATAAATTAATTAAAAAGTTGCAGTAGTAACATAACATACATTTCAGATTTTCAATGTGAGTCCTGTAAACTATGCCAAATTTTTTATCGGTTGAGAGGTAAACAGGAATCAAAGGGTCAGCCGAAGACATCTGAGTGAAGAAATGACTCCCACGAATTGACACTTATATTGGCTTGCCCGACAGAAAAGAGCTGCGGGCAAAATCAAATATACGTGGTTTGCTGCCGGAAAGGTGCGATGTCGGAAGAAGGACGGGCATAAAGTTATCTGATTAAACAGGCCTCGGACCTCGATATGTTTGCCTGACTACCAAGAATTCGTCGACTCATCCTCATTAAAATAACTTTGAATTCAATTATCTACAAAGGAACATTTTTGTTTCTATGCATAGAGATATCTCTTCACATTCACACACTAATTTATATTTTATTGACCACACGTCTTTTATTTTTGGTTTCTGCTTACACTTTCTTTTCTCCTATTTTCATTAATTGTAAACACCTTTCTGTATTTTCTATTTGTTTTAGAGTTTTTCTACCAAACTCTGACTGTTTCCCTCCCGATTCCTCTCATGTCTAGTACCCTAATCACCTGTCATGTTAACTCTCAATCCCTCCCTGCCCACAATGACGAGATCAATTATTATTGATTTAGTCTATTTATGACCGCCACTCCGCATCGTCTCCTTCCTTAATATATTCATTTTCTTCCTGTTATGAACTTATGTACTTGTATATATATCTTTCATAGCTTGTTTCTGTTCTACAAGAATGTTATTCCCATAAAGTTGCTTAATTTATTTGTTTTCTTATTTTTTTATAGATGTTTTAATAAGTACTCAGATAGAATACACAAATCTTTATATGTAGTCTTTATATTTATAGCAAACTTGGTGCTCATCTATTAGAGCAATTTATTTGTTGTTTTTCTTCCTATTTTCTTCAATCCTTTTTATAGGAAAGAGATGGTCATAGGGTGGCAGTCATAAATAGACTAAATAGAACTATTTTATTAAACGCCAAAACTATTTTATTAAAAGCCAACTATTTAGCCTATTTATGACCGCCACCCCGGACCATCTCCTTCTTTTATAATACAACGGTCAACTATTAAATATTCATTCTTTCTATTTTTTAGCTAAGCAGTGATTATTTTGTTTCATTTTTTATTCGTATTATGTATTGTTCTAGATATTTTGTAGATAATTTCTTCAGTTCGGTTTTGTATATATTGTTAGTTTTATGTTGTTTTTTTTTTTATTTGCTTAATGTTATTCTTTTTTATTTAATTTAGTTCTTCTGGTCAGAAGGAAGTATTTCTTTTGTTCTGTAACCTTTTTTTATTCTTAGGCGACCACATTCAAGAATAAAGTTCTTTTTCTATTTCTATTATATATATAGTGTAAACAAACTAATTTCACATTTTATGTCAGTTTTTAACAATGCATATACCATTAGATCATCAAAACATTTTTTTTGAAAATTTTATTCTGAATGATATTTCTGCAAAAAACATATTTCCTTTGATTATAACCACATGGACAATGACTTAAAAAGTAGAGTATTGCTTCTGAAATAAATAACCTTTATTTCATTTAACTTAAAAAGGATAACATAATTTAATAAATCAATTTAAAAAAAAAAACAGAATAAGAAATATTTTTATTAAATTCAACTTTTTGATTCTTCGTACCCTCCATGAAACTAAAAACCTCAAATTTTAGAGTAGTTTTCATTCTTTTTATTGATGAAGTTAAGATATAAGGAAATTAAAAAAACCAATAGCTTAACGTAAAAAAAGGCATACAGTGAGTGAATGATGGATCTTTGTATTACATCTTTAGATTCAATGTATGTTGTTATATGTATATCCTACATGTTCATGAAACATTAAACTCCAAATTTAAGGAGTTTTTTCTTGGTCATCATACAAATTCTGATACTGCCTAACTCAATTTCCCTATCTGTATGGAAGGCACAAAAAAACTACCTTAATTTGTTATTCACAACTTTCTCCTTATAATCGATATTAAATTTCAACCCTAAATGCCTTTCTAACATATTTTACACACTACCCAAATGCATTCTGGAATGACAAAGTTTTTACTACAAAATTTCAATATTCAAAATTACATTAATAAGTGGTACTTTAATTACTTACATTAATTAAGTCATTGATGAATGCAAATATAATTTCACTGCTTCAAGATATTGAAAAAATAGGAACGTTATTTTAAGTAACAAAATATTCATACTATAGTAAATTGTAACTTTAAAGCTCAATTTCTCAAAATTATAACAAATGCAGTTACAGCCTTTTCAAACCAAGGTCATCAACTAACAAAAAATGTTATGATGCATTGCAGTCAGTTTTCCTAAAAATTGGGTAGTGTACAATAATTATCGATTCTTCCAGTTAAATAAACAATTTTGAAATTAAAAAAAGATTCCTCCTTTGTTTAAATTAAGTCTCATTCCAGAATTTTCAGTCCTTTTCAACTGAACTATAACCTAAATTACCAACATCGGTTAACTCATTACTTTAACACATATATTATAAATGGAAAAATCCAAAATAGAAAGCCATAAGTCTCCAACATAAAGGTGAATAGTTAATTAGCCGTTAACGTTTCACCAATTCAGGCATCATCAGGTCACAGCACTTACGTATATGCAGAAAGAAAACACCAAAAAAGGAACAGGAAATAAACAAAAAAAATATATTGCTGTAGATATCTCACGAAGCCATACAAATACATACCGAAGGAAAGAGAAGGTTCTATTAACAAAAGTAAAGGATGGTTATATAGAACAGCTGATTAGCAGACATGCAAGGAAGAAAAAGGAAACAAATGTATGCATAACTAAAATTTAATAATTTAAAAACGCATATACCTGAGATGGAGGTTCAACCGAACAGAAAAATACAGGATTAGGTACCAAACTTCCTTGAAGAAGCTTTTCAAATTCATCTTTATTTTCACTAGAAAGTGAATTAAGTTTCTTAGCTGCAGTTGCAGAGCTGCATATTATATCTCCACTTTGTACGGTCTAAACCAAAAGAAAAATGCTATTAATATTTAAGTAGCGTACTTGAAATTAGAAAACAAAAAATTGAAATTAGTCTATAGAATAAACCATATGAATAAATATTATTACACTTTTGGATATTATTGTATTATCTCAGACTTTTAATATTACCAGATCTCTTTAAGATATTTGAAGATTTTATTTTTATTTTTATTTTTATTTTTATTTCTATTGATAAAATTACCTTTCAAACATAATGTATTAATAGGAACAACAGCTCATCTTCAAGTTCTACAAAATAGTCATAAAATATTTGGATAATGCTTATTATTTATTCATATTTTATTAGAATTTTTTATTCCACATGTTTTAAAACTATTGCTGCAACCAACAACATATGGTTAGTCAGAAAAGTTGTGTACATGGGGTTAAATCTTATTTTGTTATACTTTAAATTAATAAGAGAAGGAGTTAGTCGGGGGTGCGGTCAGATAAATACTAAATTAAAATATAGTAATTATTTTATTTTAATTTTGCCGACGTTTCAACCCACTTTGCAGGTTGTCTTCAGGGCTACAAAAGATACAAAACATGTTGAGAATAAAAATTAAATATAAGTAGATATAAAATAAGAAGAAGTTGTCAGATACAGAAATAAAAGATGATATCAGAGATATAGTGGGTGACAATGTAGTAAAATATTAAGTATTAATAACTCCTTCTCATATTATATCAACGGTCAACCATCTCTACATCATTTTAAATTAATAAGTTCCTTTTTCTTTCCAAGGGAAAATTTTTTAGTTGTAAGTTTGATTACAAAAGATATATTTTCATTTGTTTATATAATATAATTATTTTTAGAAAATTGTATATAAGTATCAGTCTAACATTATATATAACTCAAACTCCTCACCCAGTGATTCATAGAAAGGTGAGCGATCACTGTGTCGTACATCATACCTGCTGGCCCTCCAGGTTGGGGGTTAGGCATAGAGCTAATAACCCTATCACATAAAAAATACCTTATTATGAAACCTAAAACTAGCATTGCAAAATGGGATTGTCTTAACATGTTAACAACCCTGGCATTGTATCATAAACTATACATTGGTCTTGATCCACCAATACTCAGATCTTATACAAACCAGAAGCCACAAAAACGATAGTCAATGAACTATAAATGTAGAACATGCCATTAACAGCCATACAAAATGTAAGATGGCCAAAATGTGGTTTCATTTAAAAAAAAAAAAACTGTACCACTACAATACTTTGTAAGTAATACTTTGTAAGGAAGTACTGTTTCTTGGTCAAAGGTTGTGCAAGGAGGTGATTTGACCGAGGTCACTCTCAACTGATAGATTTTTCCCTTATTAATTAATTAAGGATACCAACTTTATAGAGGCTGGGTGTGCCCTAGGAAAGACCTTGGAGTCGACCCACGGCCAACGGAATAGAATAAATAATTTATCTGCCATCAGCCGGGTTTGCACCTGAGACCTTGAGCATTGGAAGTCAGCGCCCCAACTATACCACTGAGCTACCCCACTCCCTAGAGGTTTTAAAGTTTTTTTCAACTATGTAATAAATGATTAATTTTTTACCAAAACTATCTTAATGCTATCCTAAAAAGATGATTTCTCATTTTTAATTATACTTTGTATTTGAGCTGAAGTAACTTGAGTCTTTTTACCGGGATGGGTAGTCGGCCCTCCCCTAACCCTCCTTCTTTCTCACCCTGGACTTGGGACCAGACCATGGGGGAACAAATAGATCGATTTGAAAGGAAAATACTAATATGGATAATAGGACCTAAACTGGAGGAAGGAGTTCCAGGCTTGAGAACAAATAAGGAGGTATACTCAATGTATGGTGATCTGTCTATCTCCCAATTCGCTCGAATGCAGCGAATGATATGGTTAGGAAATTACCTGAGAAGGCTTTATCATGGGAAGCCAGAGGGAGTTAGGTCTAGGGGAAGACCGAAGGCAAGATGGATAGATAACGTAAAAGAAGACTTGAGAAAAAACGGCATATCCATCAGGTGCGCAACCAACAGGGATAACTGCGCAAAGGAAATTGAGCAGGCCAAGGACTGCTACATACGTCTATTGTGCCAATAATGAATAATCATACTTATCTTTTTTTTTTACTGAAAAGGTAGGGATATAATTTGTTGTTTTGTGATTTAATAAGTAATAGTTTTTTTTGTACCACTGCTGCTCTTTATCAGAAATTATGATCTTTAGGAATTAAAAATAAAACAAAAGTGAAATTTAAATAACACTTGAACCTGCCTATTTAACATCTATTGGAGAACATTTCCTCTCATATAATAGTTTTATACATTTTACAATAAATAACAAACATTAAATATTAATATAGAATATTAACAATATTAATAAATATTAATATAAAATATTAGGATCCATAACTGTTTGGTATTTTGTGAACTATAAATATGTGAGTAGGGTGTTAAATCCTACGTCACACCCTCCAGCAAGTCTGGAGGGACCCTCTTATTGTTGGCCAGCGAGTCCATTGGACCTAGCCGGGAGGAACTTTCGAGCAATTTTCACCGACTATCCCCACAACTGCCATCCGTGGGACGCTCCCTTGCGGGGTAATGAGCCCGTGCGAGGCATGTAAAATCGCTGGACTTTTTTTGTTCCAACATTATTTTGCACCGTGGCCTCAAGTAGGCCTATGATACGTCGTCCTAAACTCAGTTATCTTCACGAACCTATTGATCCTGAGGGGATCAATGAGTTCGCAATGCTTGGGGTCAGTGATACGATCACATCTAAAGTGAAAGTATCACAGTCAAGCCAGATTATCACATTTGCAAATAATGTGATAGGCTGTTTCATCCTCCAGGCCACATAGCCTGCAGGTAGAGGTTTCACTTACACCCAGATTAAAAAGGTGCTTATTTAATTGACAGTGACCAGTATACAGTCCTGTCACCCGCTTAATGGTGTTCCTGTCCATCAGAAGAAGTGAATTGCTTTTTTTATGGCAGGACCCTACAAGGAATAATTTCAAATGAATCTGCTTCCTAGTCTGTATCCAATGTAGCACGAATTTATTGCTCACAATTGTCTTAATATATCTTAATACCAAGGTAATCAGCCTTCTCATTTCCTGGAACCCCCGAGTGCCCAGGTACCCATTCTACTCTCACCTTGTTTGTACTACAAAGAAGATTAAGATTGTGTTTGCATTCATCCACCAACTTTGAGCGACTTGCATAACTATTCATAGCCCCAATTGCCGCCTGACTATCCGTATATATTGTAATCTATCTATTCACAATGCCCTCCTGAATAAGTGATTGGGCACAGAAATCGAAGGCCTAAGATCTCGGCTTGAAAGACGGACGTGTATTTACCTAGAGATATAAATATTCCCTCGTTAGTCTTCTCCTTTCTCCAGATACCAGGCCCTGATCCCTGCTCCATTAAGGATCAGTCTGTATAACAGTTAACTCCATTACATGGTCGATGTGAGTTACTCCTGCTTATATTCAAATTATATAATATGTCTCTCTCTATATTTATCAACTTGTAGGTCAGAGCTCATTGCAAGTATCTGATTACTATCAATCCTTCAAAAGCAATCCCATGTCCCTGAAATATCAGGAATTTTGATCTCGTTCCCCCAACAGTGCCCAATTTGCCTATCAAGCAAGCAAATCTTGTGAGACAGCGTTGCACTATTTAGTCTCTAGAATAGAGAAAAGTTTATCACAAAAAGAGATAATGGTGGGCATCTTCGTCGATATTGAAGGTGCATTTGATCGTACACCATATGATACAATGACTAGGGCATTGGAAAGTAGAGGGGTTGGACACATGGCTTTGGAATGGATTAATTCGATTCTGAGGGGAAGAGTCCTTAAATCAGAGTTGGGATTATCTGTACGGTGGTTTAAACCAGTTGGTGGGTGTCCACATGGGGGTGTGCTGTCTCCGCTTTTGTGGTGTCTGGTTGTCGATTTCCTGATTGCTAAGTTGAATGAGGCAGGGTTTTATGCTCAGGGATATGCTGATGACATTGCGATATTGATTGGAGGTAAGTTCACAAATACTTACCTATGAACTTCTTGAATATAATATGAGACTTCTAAAAGAATGGTGCTTGGAAAATGGCCTTGGCATAAACCAGCAGAAGATAAACCTTTGTGTCTTTTTATTAGACCACCATCATTAAATGGGTTGACATTAAATATTTGTAGTGAAGTAAAACATCTTGGGATTACTCTAGATAGTAAGCTAAATTGGCTAATACATATTGAAAAGATTAGTGGAAAAGCTATACACTGCTTATGGGCGTGTAAAAGAGTCGTTGGCAAATCGTGGGGGCTGAAACCCAGCATGGCCTTATGGCTATACAGAACTGCGATTAGACCTATAGTCCTCTATGCAGCCATTGTGTGGTGGGGCAGCTGCGGGCAGGCCTAGAATACTACTTGGCAAGCTTCAAAGGCTCGCATGCCTTATGACGACAGGGGCTATGAGCACTACTCCCACTACTGCAATGGAGGTTCTATTGAATCTGACACCAATGCATTTAGAGGTGGAAGCACATGCTATTAGAATAGCCTATAGGATGGGCAAACTGGGAACGAGATCAAAATCGCTGGTCTTAGTAACGAAGGAATTCCTAAAAAATTAATATGCGCTGTACCCACTGGCAAGCGTCCGAGGGGTAGACCAAAGCGAAGGTGGGTAGATTCCGTTACGGCTGATTTGGCAGGGTTGGGTTTAGATGGAGCCTGGTGGATGGAAGATTGTGGACATCGATTGGTGGTATTGGCATCAAACCTTCGGGTCCGCTAAGCCTTATTATTATTATTTTATGTGTCAACACTCTTACAAGAGGTTTTTTGTTTACTTGAGAGGGGGCGAATCAACTCCAACCATCTCAGGTATGTTCTATTTTAATTTCTATTGAATGCTGAGAAAGCTTCTTACAATTCTGGCAGTATTCAACAGCAGCACTTGCTGAGCTTCATT